GGGGAAGGGGGCACTGTCACCTGTCACTGAGGGGCCCATGGCTGGGGGAATGGGGCATTGTCACCTGGTCACTGAGGGACCCATGGCTGGGGGAATGGGGCACTGTCACCTGGTCACCGAGGGGCCCATGGCTGGGGGAACAGGGGCACTGTCACCTCGTGACACAAGGTACCTGGAAAACCCAGCTCTGAGCCTTGGTCCCTGAGTCTGGAGAGGGGTCCTCCGTTCAGTCCTGGACAGCCCTGAATCAGGGAGCACTGCAGCTGGTCACCCTCCTGCACTGGGCCAGCCGAGGACGCAGACGCCCAGAGCCTGCTCCCGAGACCTGGCTCCCTTCTGCAGGAAGCAGGCAGTAACCCCTGATGGACAGAATCTGGAGCAGGCCCGCGGGCGGCCTTCCCAGGAGGGTGGGGTCGGCTGGGCCTGGTCCCAGCAGAGGCGTCTGTCTGGGTCCTTCTCTGGCAGGCAGAAGGGCAAAGGCCGCACCCACCTTGCGGGAGTATTCAGAGGGTTAAAGGAGGTACCACCTGGGGCTCAGCAGATCCTGCCGCGTTAGAGGAGCCTGGCCACCGCGGGCCTCCGGCACAGCCATGCCATGGTGTCTGGAGGGGACAGCACCAGGACAGGAGGGCGGAGACATCACACTTCTGAACAAGGCAAAGGCCCGGCGTCATGCCACCCTGGAGGCCACAGAAGGCCAGGCGCTGGGTTCCCTGTGACCTGGGTGGACGCTGCGGGGTCTACCTGAGCCCGGGACAGGCCCGACGCAGGGTCGGGTGTTACCCTGGTGGCTCTCGTCATGGAGGCTCAGTGAAGCCCACACATGGAGCTCGACCCCAGTCAGCACCGGGTGGGCGCTCAGCACTGCTCGCCCCTGGACGGACCGCGGCTGGCACCTACGTGACCTGTGGCTGCCACCCAGCACAGACACGAGACAGGCATCGCTGGGCGCCACAGAGGGTCCACTGTGCACCGACGATGGAGAGGCCACTTGACGGTGAGTTTGTTGGTCATCGTGGTCACATGCCACAGCGAGGCTCGTTCTGACATGGCCACGTCTGCATCCCGCAGCTGCCCGGCTCTGATCCCAGCCCTCCTCTCGGGGAGACCCCTCCCAGAAGGCTCTGCCAGTTCCCAAGCAAGTCCACGGAACCCGAGCTCCCTAAGGTATCTGGGCCAGCCAAAGAAGCCTGTGGTCACCGCGGAACACGCCCCATGAGGAGAGTATCGAAGTCAGCCACCAAGTCCTGCAGAAGGGAACCTATTAAAATTCTTTTATTTTTTTAATCTGGGAAAGATTATTTTTCCAGTTTTGTTTTGTTTTGTTTTGTTTTTTTGTACCTGGGATTGAACTCAGGGGCACTTAACCCCCGAGCCACACCTCCAGCCCTTCCTTTATATTTTATTTAAAGACAGGATCTTGCTGAGTTGCTCAGGGTCTCACTAAATTGCTGAGGCTAGCTTTGAACTCAAGATCCTCCCGCCTCAGCCTCCCAAGCCACTGGGATTCTGGGCAGGCGCCACCACCCACTTATTATTCAGGCTTTATTGAGGTTGAATGGGAAAATGAGCACTGCTATGTTCCAGGCACGCAGCTTGACAAGCTGATGTATGTGCATGTTGTGGAATGACCGCCAGTCAAGTTCATTGACATGCCCCCCACCACGTGTGTGCGTGCACCCCTGTGTGTGCGTGCCCGTGACCGAGTGTGCCGAGAGTGTTATGACAAGGGTCCCCGCCATATGCCAGGTCTGTGGAGTGCTGTACCTTCTGTCCTAAGTACGCACACTGCCAGATCTCTCGCTCCCTGGAAACCCCGCTACCCTCTGCCCTCTGCCCTCTGTTCTGTGGCAGGCTTTGGGTTCCCTGCAGGCGTCCTGTGTGCCTTTCTCCCCGTGGCTTGCCCTGGTGCTGCAGAAGGTGGCCCCTGACCCCACCCAGGCACGGTCCAAGTGACCTGACCCCAACAGAGCCTTTGAGCCTGCTTACTGACGTCGGTCTGAAGAGCCCAGTCGCACTGTGTCACTGAGCAACCTAGATGACTTGGTGAGGTGACCTTTGTTTTCCAGACTTGGGCTCAGAAAACATAAGGCTCCTTGCCCAGACCACGCAGCTGCCATCGGCAGAGCTGGGACTCAGGCTGTCTCGGACCCCAGCCAGGAGTGGTCGGAGATGACCAGTATGCACAACTCTCAAAACCACTGCAAAAAACCAAAACAACAAAACACCAGGCCGCAGCGACCCCGCAGGGCTGAAGGCTCCTCTCAGAGCCCCTTCTCCCCTCTTTCTCCTCTCTACATCCAGTGACAAAGTCGCCCACAGGTCCACAGCCCAACAACCTGCAAACCTGGCTCAGCTCCGGACACCCTCGGAGGCCATGAAGGTCTTTCCTGCACTCCTGGCCGCCGCCCGCCACCTCCGCCCTGTTCTGAGCAAGGTCCCCCACCACGAACCCCTGCGGCTGGCTTGTCTTGCTTCCTGGTGTGCCTTGGAGACACTTGGTTCTCAACGCTAACAACCCACGTCACCCTTCCAGGCCCAGGGTTTCCTGCAGGGGAGTGGACCACAGCTGCCCCTCTGTCCTCATCAACGGCGTCCCCCGTGCCAGGGTTGCAACTGCTGCTCAAGGGGCTTCCCGAGAGCCGGTGCGACCCTGGCTGAGTGCCCCCCAGTGTGGACTGCATGTTTTACTTCTCTTTTTCAAAGATTTCAAGTTGCAGATAGACACAATCTCTTCACTTTGTCTATTTTTACGTGGTGCTGAGGAGCCAACTCAGTGCTCACACACACTGGGCAGGCGCTCCGCCCGGAGCCCAGCCCCGCCCCTGCAGGCCCCCAGGCAGGTGGTGGAGCTGGCCTGCCCACCAGGCAGCAGGAGGGCACGGTTCCCTCACACCCGCCAGCATCAGGCGTCAAGTGGTGCACATGGAAGGCCTCAGCACGGCCCAGAGGTGACTCCAGCTGCCTGGAAGGAGGGGAACAGAGGACGGGCGTGAGCTGGCACGTGGCTCAGTGTGAGCCCCAGCAGCATGGCGGAAACCAGGAAGGGAGGGCCAGCTCCCCACTGGCTGCAGAGAGGCAGATAATGAGTGTGTATCCCGCCGTCTCCAGGGAGGAAGGACAGCCCCAGGTCCCCAGCGGAGGTGGATATCTCCCAGAGACTGCCTCCTGCCAGCCTGGGCTGTGTGTGGCTGCAGGTGAGAGCTCACGTCGGGTCCTGGGGAGCAGCACTCAGATGGGTGGCCCTGCCTAGGACCTCACTGCAGGTGGGAGGTGTGGACGCCCTGCCCTGCACGTGGCAGAGCTCCTCCAGCTTCCACTTCCTTCCACCTCTTAGCCAGAGCCACGGGGGGACGCTGGAGGGCAGAGGGGAGACTGCTGGGCAAGTGGACAGAGACCCCCCCTCTGGGCTTCACATTTCTGATCTGAAAATAAGAATATCAGTGGATCTCCAGGAAACTGATACCCCGTAGCTCTAAAGCAAGCCTGTCCTTCCTCTGCCCTTCTCCTCTCCTCTCCCCCTGCTTTCCTTCCCCACCCCTTCTCCTTCCCATCCTTCTCTTCCCGTTCTCAGTGTGGAGCACGGGCCGGGCACACGCCTTCTCTCTCACCACCATCTACTTTAGAAGGTAAGTCAAGCCTAGATCTATCCACAAAGGCTTCCCACGCAGCCTTCTTTATATCTGGACAAACACTGACCGCGACTCCCTCACCTGCCGGTGGTGATGGTGGTGACAGGCGCTGGTCAAGGGCTTGTCCTGTGCCAGGCCGGTCACCTCCGCACGCTCCAAGGTGGAAGCTCCTCAGCTGACTCTCACAGAGGCTCGGTGAGGTAGAACTGGGCTGTGTGTCCCTCGCCAAAACACAGGACATGCCCAGCCGCCTTCATTGACAGGGAAACGCTCCGTGCGTGCAAAGAGAGAAGGATGCGAGACGAACCCGCTGAGGTTCCGCGTGTGCCTGAGCTGCCTGAGGCGAGGGCGCTCCAGGTGAGCCTCCTGAGCTCCACTTAACGGCGTCCAGGAGTCTGGTCGGGAACATGGTGGCCAGGGCCGACACCGGGAAGGGGTGCGCCACCTGTGAGCCCGTCACCGTGTTGGATCCTGGGGCTGGGGCTGATGGATCCCTTGCTATTTTGTAAACACCCCTGTTATCTCAAGCGGGCTCTGAACTTCTCACCGAGTTAAATGTGGTCAGCACTCAGTTCCTAGCCGTTTCCAGAGCCCGGTGCAGAAGGGCTTTCACACTGAGCAGCCCTCCAATCCCCAGAACCCACTCGACCTTGCAAAGCACCGAAACTCTGTCCCCATTAAACGTCAAACCCCCACCCAGGCCTGGCCACTGCCATCTGCTCTCATCCTCTAGGACTGTCCATTCTCAGGACCTTGTGCAAGTGGACAACTATCTTACAGCGAGGTGGCGAGGGACTCATTCCTCCTGTCCTGTCTGGATTCTAGCAAATTTTCTAGAAGCAAAATAAATGGCCACATACAAAATTTTAAATGTTCCAAGGATACGTGAGGATGGACGTCCCTGGCCTCTCTAACCCCAGTGAAACGCTCGGAGGCGGCCACTGGGAGTGGACTCCCGAGGGACATTCCAGAAACACCATGGCGTATCCACGGAAGACACTGTAGGGCTGCTCTCCAGGTTCTGCTCCTGCTCCTGGGCACCCAGCGGTTTCCGCCCATGGCTGCGACAGTAAGAACGTGTCCTAGCGCACTGGCCCAGTCCCCAGCCGCCCTCACTCTTGGGCCTGGGTGCACTGACCTGGCGGTGGGACTCATCTCTGGAGGGGGACCACACAGGACAGACAGCTCCTGAGGCCCTCGTGTGGCAGACACTGCCGGTGGCCTTGGAAGAGCTCCTTCCCGTCCACCCCACTGTGGGTGGGGGTGGGACGATCTCTGAGGCCATCCTTGCAGCTGGGGGGAGCGGCCCTGGGTCAGTCAGCTTGAGAGCGACGGTGTGGGGTGTTGGACTGGCCATGGCTCCAGAGTTGCAGAAGAGCCCCACTGGGCTCCTGCGGCAGTGCAGGTAGAGGTGGCATGAAGTCCCCCGGGTCACAGCAGGAGGGGGCTCCTGTGGCGTTGCGGGTAGAGGTGGCATGAAGTCCCCAGGATCACAGCAGGAGGGGGCTCCTGCGGCAGTGCGGGTAGAGGTGACATGAAGTCCCCCGGGTCACAGCAGGAGGGGGCTCCTGCAGCAGTGCAGGTAGAGGTGGCATGAAGTCCCCCAGGTCACAGCAGGAGGGGGCTCCTGTGGCATTGCAGGTAGAGGTGGCATGAAGTCCCCAAGGTCACAGCAGGAGGGGGCACTGGGGTGTTCATCTGAACTGTTAGGGGCAATGGCTACTGCCGAGCTCTTACCTTGTACCCGGCACTGTCCTCCTGCCCCCCTGACACGTAGTGAACCTGTGTGGGGCCTTAGTGGGGTATAAACACAGTTTCCTCAAAAACTTAAAATTCACTGTAAACCCAGCGCTGTGCTGGACACGACCTGGTCAGGCCTCTCCGTCTGCGGTGGGGGTGACCTCGAGGCCGAGACTTCCTTGGGTGCCGCTGACTGGAGTCTGAGATGCACCTCACTGGGTCCCCACAGGCTGGGGGTCGGGTCCATAGGTGCCTTATCATCAGGGGTGATTGGCAAGTAAAACCGGGGGCAGATAAGGTGTGCAGCTCGACCTTGGGCACACGTCAGGTCGTGGAACGAGTACTCCCCTCGCTCTCGTGGATCCATCCCTCCCAAACGTCCAGCCTTCTAGCAAGTCTGCGGGGAGAACTCTAACTGCAGTCATCTGGCTGGGCCCGTTCGCTCTGTTCTAAAGAAAGATGTCCCAGCCTCTCCACAGTGACCGTGTCAGAGAGCCAAAGGCCTCCACTTGTTCACTGGTGGGTCCAGGGAAGGGTGGGTCCCAGGTTGAACCCCCTCTGTCTGAGCTCTGCCCACAGTCCCTGGTTCAGGGCAGTGGAGGACAGCCCCTTCCTGGTAAGAGCAGACACGGACACTCTGCAGGAGCATCCCACACGGGTACTGAAGGAGGTGAGCTCGGGGTTTGCTCCGTGTGGTTTGGGCAAATGAGACGGGCGTGGGAGGCGGCTGCGCTCATCCATCAGCTGCTCACGGGTCTCTGCTGACCTAGGGCTTCTCCTGTTGAGTCCACGCCTTCCGCTCTCCATTCACTTGGGCAGATTCACCGACCGTCTCTGTGCCTCGGTTCTGCCAAGTGGGAGCTGGGGTTGGTGAGGACAGACATCACCCCATTGCCCCGTGTCTGGGGGAGTCTCCCTGGGGGAGACGGAGCCCAGCCTTGTGCTTGCCAGGCAGGGGCTCTACCCTGAGCCGGTCCTTGGGGGAGACATTCTTGTGTCCGTTTACGGAAGAGGAAAGGAGGAGCAGTCGGCACTGCCTCTCTGGTAGGCTCACCCAAGCCAGACAGAAAACAACACTGAGTGCCAGATGGGCCTCCTCACACAGGCTGGCCCTGACCCCTCCCTGGTCCAGGGTCTTCTCCCGTGGGCTCCCGCTCACAAGTGCAGCCCTGCCCTCCTCTCCCCTGCCTCAGCCCCAGCCTGAACACCCCAAGTCCTTCCATCTCAGAAAATGGCTCCATCCCCTCCCTTGGCCAGAGCCCTAGGACTTACCCTTCACCCTCATGTCTGCTCCATGGCCATGCCCAGGGACACCACCTCCAGGACTTATCCCGACAGTGGGCACACCCTCACTGAAACACCCACCAGGACAGTCCAGCCACCAGCATCCCTCATGCACAGGACTCCCAAGGCAGCCCCCTGCCTTCCCTCCCTGCGCCCACACTTGGCCCTGGACACTCCTCTGTGGAGAACCCTCATCACCCAGCAGAGTTTTGGAAACAGAAGAAATGCTCAATCAACAGAGGTTGAATAAACGAGAGCAGCCGGAAGCTTTCACAAGAGCTGAGCACTGTAGGTCCCTGGGGAAGCGGTGCACACTCTTCAGCTGGTCTTCAACCAGCAGGAGTCCCCAAAGCATGTGCACGAGCACCCCGCAACGGAGCCGCCAGGCTGGGCCACCATGGTCATGTCCTGGTGCCCAGGGAGCTGCGGTCACCTGTGTGTTTTCCACCAGGCACTCAGCCATTTCACTCTAGGGTTGAGGCCAGCCAGAACAGAAGCAGGAGGCCCTTGCAGGAAGGGTGCTGGTGGCCTAGGCCAGGGAGTTGCTGTGGAGCAGGATGGAGCAGACCCCCACAGCGTGCAGAGGGTTCCTCACCACACCCTCAGCTTCAGAAGGGAGTCTGAATCTGGGAGACGAGAGGCCGGAACGTCTTCCCTGGGGTTCACCGCTGTGCCACTCAGGACAGTCACTCAGGAGTGCCAGTTCCTCTTGGCCATGAGCTCACCCCAGTGCTCTCTGCACCTGATGGTGTTCACCTGCAGTCTCAAACGGCTTCTTTCACTGTGGAACCCACCTGCAGATGAGGAGCTCCATCAGCTTGCTGGCTTGCAGCTTCACGGGACCCAGTAGTCAACCCAACATCAAGCGTCTTTACCACGCTGTGTAGACAGTCACGATCCTGGGCTGGGTGGAGAAGGGAGAGCAGGGTGCCAGAGCTGGGGAGAGGGGGCGGAGCCAGCAGGAGGCAGGGCCCAGTGAGAGGGTGTCGGGACCTATAAGAAGAATGTGCCCCGGAGGGGAGAGCAAGTGGGAACATAGCTCTCCGCGGCTCCCTCTCCATCCAGAACCCCGGCTCGGTGCCTGCCACAGCGCCTGGGAGCCCGGAGAAGTCAACGGTGCAGCCTGGTGGGTGGGCAGGTCCCAGGACACTAACAGATGAAAGGCTCCCTCCTGACTGGAGAGGAGGGGACAGCAGGGCAGAGGCCCTGAGGTGGGGGCCTAAGCTCCCGGACCAGAGTCCAGAAAAGCAGGCAGGGCCAGGCCAGCTCACAGGACCTCTGACTTCCTCCCTGGCTCCTGCGCACCACGGGTCTGATTTGCCCTGGGCCGAGACCCCAGGGGCTCTGCGCCCAGGACGCATGCGCAGCAGGCGCAGCCTCACGGGCACCTTCTCCATCCTCTCCCCTCCCAGGCTTCCTCAGCCGGCCTCGTGCACTCTACAGCTGGCCCATGCCCGTGGCCCGCACTCCCCCGGGCGGCCCCGCAGCCCTGGCCTGGGCCAACCAGAGCGGAGCGCGTGACTTCGTGCTGCTGGGCTTCGCGCACGTGCCCAGGCTGCGCCCGCTGCTCGCCGCACTCTTCCTGGCGCTCTTCCTGCTGGCGCTGCTGGGCAACACGCTCATCGCGCTGCTGCCCGGCCTGGACCCCGCCCTGCGCGCGCCCATGTACTTCTTCCTGCGCCAGCTGGCCCTGGTGGAGCTCTGCTTCTCGCTGGACGTGGCGCCGCGCCTGCTGCTGACCCTGCTGCGGCCCGGGCGTGGCGTGTCCCCCGCGGCCTGCGCCCTGCAGCTCGTGCTGTCGTGCGTCACGTCCGAGTGCTTCCTGCTGACCGCCATGGCCTGGGACCGCTTCGTGGCCATCTGCAGGCCGCTGCACTATGGCGCCCTGGTGAGCCTCAGGCGCTGCCGCCTGCTGGCCGCTGCCTGCTGGCTGGCGGGAGTCCCCGTGGCGCTGGTCTTCACCGCCTGGCTGTTCAGCTTTCCCTTCTGCGGGCCGCGTGGCATCCGCCACTTCTTCTGTGACATCGCCCCTCTGCTCAGCCTGGTGTGCGCAGACACCAGGGTCTTCGAGGCCAACGTGTTGGCGGCCACGGTGCTGGTCATCATGGTTCCCTTCTGCCTGATTGCCACATCCTACGCCAGGATTCTGGCCACTGTCCTGCGGATGCCTTCGGCCTCGGGACGCCTCAAGGCTCTGTCCACCTGCGCGTCCCACCTCATCGTGGTGATTCTGTTCTATGGCACCACGGGGGTCATCCATTTGCGCCCCAAGGCCAGCTACTCTCCTGAGAGCAAGCAGGTGGTGTCCCTGTCCTACACCCTGGTGACCCCCATGCTCAACCCGCTCATCTACAGCCTTCGGAACAAGGAGGTGAAGGCTGCCCTGGGGCGCCTGTGCCGGTGGCCTCGCCCGTCTGGACTCAGGGCATGAGCTCTTGGGCCCAAGATGGGAGTCAGAGTCAGCATCTGCTTTTGCCCAGGATCTTTGTGCAAGTGTGTGTAGCACTCAGACTCTCAGGGAACTGTCCTCTTTCTCTTTTCAGTCTGGGTGGCCCTAGTCTTGGAAATCCCTGTGCCTTGTGCCGGGGCTCCTAGACGCACGGATCACATCTTTCTGCCCAAGCAAAGGCCCGTGACGGAGGCTTCCAGCCCCCATGAGTACCTGGCAGCTGACAGGCTAAGCCGCCTGGGACAGCTGGAGTGTGGGGATCAGCAGCTGCCACTGGAATGCGAAGTAACAAGGCACCCAGTGTCTTAAGAGCCGCCATCTGTTCTCCTGAACCTGCCCTCGGCTGAGTGCTGCTAATCCAGCCTGGGCTCCTGTTCATCCGGGTGACGTTGCTGATACCCAATGGCCTTGCTCCGGAGACTGAGTGGTGGCTGGTGTGGGCGGGGATAGCTGGGGGAGCTGGGTCCTCGGTCCTCCACCCCCCCCCAGCTGGCTGGGGCCCTCTTCTCACCACACTGCAGGGAGGCACGCCTGCAGAGGCCCCGGGCAAGGGGTGCCCAAGACTTTTTTATGTGAGTGGGCCAGTGCCCAGCACATGGGCAAACCCAAAGTCCAGGGGCAGCAGGACACCCTCTTCCTCTGTGGGGGACACTGCAAACTGGGCAGTTGACATTCATCTGGGGATGAGTGAAGAATTTGAGACACTAGTAGAATCTACTTCAGGGCATCAGATCCCAAGATGTTCACTCAGATTCTCTTTGTCAGTGACTTGCAGCTTGTGACCTTTAACGGGAGTCCCTGCTCGATAATGGAGTTGATGCAAAGAAAACCAAAACCAGCAGAGGAAGGGGAATGGGGTTCTAATGACTGTGGAGTTCCTAGATCCAGCCATGCCTGATGTCTGTCCCACCCGTGGGTTCCTTTTATGTGACCAAATAAATTCACATTTACATGAGCCTGTTCAGGTTGGTTTTTCTGTCCTTTGAAGTGATCTTATTTTCTGAGTGTTATCTCTAATAGTTAGCCTGATTAACAGGGGTTAATTTATTTCTTCAAGTCAATTAGGAATTTTTTCTAGACAAAAGTAAATACATCAGAGGAGGAGTTTTCTCTCTTTTATTGGAGGGATCTTATTTTTCTAGAAGACAAATTCAATTTCCTTGAATTTGATGTGTAACTCTTTCTTTAGATATAGGACTGGGACTTGACTTTCAGCCTCAGTTTTCTCATCTGTGAGTGAGAATGTAATGATGCCGACCACACAGTGTGGGTAACACATAGCAAGAGGAAACATGGAAGCCCCCAGTGCATCCTGGGACACAGCGGGCACCCCCAGTGCATCCTGGGACACAGCGGGCACCCCCAGTGCATCCTGGGACAGCGGTCTCCCCCAGTGCATCCTGGGACAGCGGGCACCCCCAGTGCATCCTGGACACAGCGGGCACTCTATGAAGTTTTCCACTTACCACCCCCATAGCCAACCCATAGGTTAAACCCCAAACGATGGCTAGAAGGGAACATCCAGTAGTATTCCCTGCAGGCCGGGTTTGGAATTGGGAGACTTAAGTTCAAATTATCATGAGCTTCTAAGTACAGGAAATTCAGCACCCTGTGAAGACATGTTATGAATTTATATAAATTTGAAAATTTGCTTGATCTGTAGAACTGTACCCACCAGAGAGTAAATACTATATCTTTGGTGATGATGATGGTGATGATGATGGTGGTGATGATGGTGGCAATAATGGTGGTGGTAGTCATGTTGATGGTGGTGATGGTGATAATGGTGGCTGTGATAAGTGATGGTGGGGGTGATGGTGGTGATAATAGTCATGGTGCTGGTGATGGTGATGATGGTGGTAATAGTTATGATGGTGGTGATGGTGGTGATGATAGTTATGGTGGTAATGGTGTTAGTGATAGTCATGATGGTGATGGTGGTCATGATGATGGTGGTGATGGTGGTCATGATGCTGATGGTGGTGGTGATCAGTGATGGTGG